ACACGCCCCTGGGTGGGTAGTCCAACCCAGGCCGGTGCTGGAGAAGAGGAGTCCAACTCTGAACACCTACTTTTTTGGTTTCTTTCAGCCGCTTTCTTCCAGGACTGCATATCAGAGCAGGATTTGGACGAGATGAACATTGAAATCATCCGAAACACACTTTACAAGGTACGATTATTTGTTTTCTGATGCCTTTTCAGGTGATTTAAACTTAGAAATATAGAAAAAAGGGTGAATCATAAAAAAGTCAACACACTTCACTTCAGTGAGTCATTTTATTCAAAAGACAAATACACAAACGATGATTTCAGTGTTTTAAAGTTACATTTAAGAGCCAGGATTAGTTGTAATCCACTTCTGGTCACCTTCTCTCAGGCTTATCTAGAGGCTTTCTATAAATTCTGCTCAAACCTGGGAGGAACCACAGCCGACACCATGTGCCCCATCCTGGAGGTGAGCCTTTTATTTTCCCCCTAAGAGCAAATTCCTCCTGTTTAGAGTTGGTTTGATGCTTTCAGCCCGGTTTAACTGAACCAGGCTTTAGGCAAAAGCAGCTTCCAGCATGTTTTCAGCCCGTCTCCTGTCGTTCCTCCAGTTCGAGGCTGACAGGAGAGCCTTCATCATCACCATCAACTCGTTCGGCACAGAGCTGTCCAAAGAGGACCGCGCCAAGCTCTTCCCTCACTGCGGAAAGCTCTACCCAGAGGGCCTCGCTCAGCTGGCCCGGGCAGACGACTACGAGCAGGTCAAGGCCGTCGCAGACTTCTACCCAGTAAGTGCATAAAAACTTCATTTTCCAACCCGTCCCACCCCACGGAGCTGAGCGCACAACCCAAACTAACCCAATCCAGCCCAAAACGGACCAAAACTGGTCCAAAACGGAACAAACTTGTCCAAAACTGACCCGAACTAACCCAAAACGGCCCCAAACTGGTCCAAAACTTGTCCAAAACTGACCCGAATTAACCCAAAACGGACCTAAACTGGTCCAAAATGGACCCAAACTGGTCCAAAACTTGTCCAAAACTGACCCAAACTGACCCAATCCAGCCCAAAGCTAACACAAACCAGTCCAAAAGGGGGCTAAACCGGTGCAAAACTGGTCCAAAGCCTACCCAAACTGACCCAAATCAGTTTAAAATAGTCCAAAAGATAACATGGTGGGGCGATGAATTTCAGACGAAAATGTTTTTTTGTTGATTCCCTGTTTTTTATATGTGTTTGGCACTGAGTACGACGGGCTGACAGCTTCTGGTTTTCTGACCCCGGACAGTAACTCGGTCATTTCTAACCCGGCCTTCTGTTTCCTCAGGAGTACAAGCTGCTGTTTGAAGGTGCTGGCAGCAACCCGGGAGACAAAACCCTGGAGGACCGCTTCTTCGAGCACGAGGTGACTGCACACGCTTTACCGCCAAACACCGAAGCAGACCCGTCCTCAGGACCCCCCACAAGCCTGGACCCGGTCCCAGATGTCCCTAACTTTAACTTTAGACCTGGCAAATCCTGTCCACTGCCGTCAGTTTTTATTGATCTACTTTTTTACCAGTCATTCATTTCTTCATTATTAAGCTTCATTTTTTGGTTTTTGCTCTTTACAAGGCAAAACACACAAACAACCTGAATAGAAAAAAGTCTATTGACTCTGTTTTACATCCAACTGTTCCTCTTTTTCGTCCTTAAGGATAAAATAATCCTGCACAACTGACATTTTTACTGATAGCTTCAGATTAACATGGCCGTCTTAATGGTCAGGACACAGGAGATGCTAATGCTAATGCCAGCCTACTTAGTTGTCAGACTCATGTTGAACAGGGATTTACTCTGATAACTTAATGGTTCGGACACAGACCTGTGGTTACAGATGCTAATGCTAACGCTAATGCTAATGTGGGATCAGACTTAAAAAAAAAACTGCATCTGGAGTCTTGATCTGCATTTTCTCCTGCCGATCCGATCCAGATATGGGATCGGGACCAGCCTAGTTTTCCAGATCCAGACTCCTGAAGCGTGACCAGGTCCAGGTGTGCCTAACAGCCCCCCCCCCTCCCCCCCCAGGTGAAGCTGAACAAGCTGGCCTTCCTGAACCAGTTCCACTTCAGCGTGTTCTACGCCTACGTGAAGCTGAAGGAGCAGGAGTGCAGGAACATCGTTTGGATCGCAGAGTGCATCGCCCAGCGCCACCGCGCCAAGATCGACAACTACATCCCCATTTTCTGAGCCCCCCCCCCCCCCCCCCCCCCCCCCCCCCCCCCCCCCCC